CAGGAACGCGGCATGGATGTCAGCTACAGGGGCATTGGCGCTCACCAATGCTTCCCTTCCGCTGTGGAAAAAGAAAGCCAAAGCTGGATGGAATTAAGGACTTGGTTATATACATTTTAGGAGAAGAAAAAAATTACAATGTTTTCCTTTTTCCTGAAGGCTAGAATAAAGGCACATCATAGCCCAAAGGTCTGTGGCATATGTCTGTAATTCCTGTTCTCAAGAGGCCAAGGCAGGAGGATCTTGAACACCAAAATTGACTGGTCTCACAAACAAATACGAAAAAGAGCCAAGATTTAAAAGGGAAAAAAAGAGAGAGAAAAAAAGAAAAGGATATACCAGTGTCTGATCTGCTGTGTTACACTGAGTCAGTCACTTTTGAAAAGTTGTTAATTAGTGGGGAGAATGAGGGTGGGAGGTGGGAGGACTGTGAGCAAGTAGGGAAACTGGGGGTGGGGAGGGGCATCTCTTTGCCAAGCTGGAGGCCAGGGTAGGCTCCAGGAAGAATATGGGTGTGACTCTAGCTGAGATTCCTCACAGGGGGACATGAAGAGTGAAGGGACCACCTCATAGCCAGGCAGGACTAGTGGGAGGAGGGGAACAACAACCCACCAACAAAACCTTTGATCCAAAAATTCCCCTGCCTACAAAAAGTACAGGGATAACGAGGGAACAAAGACTGAGGGAAAGTCCAACCAATAATTGGCCCAACCTGAGACCCGCCCCATGGTAGAGACCCAGCTCCTGACGCTAATGATGATACTCTGCTATGCTTGTAGACAAGAGCCTAACTTGACTGAAGTGTGGGAGGCTCCAGCAAGCAGTAGATCAAGACAGATGCTGGGACTTGTAGCCAAGCATGGGGCAGAGCTCCGGGGGCCTGTGGAAAAGTTGGGGGAAAGATGGAGGACCTTGAGGGGACAAGAACCCCACAAGAAGACCAACAGATACACCTAACCCAAACCCATGGGGGCCTATAGAGACTAAAACATCAAATAAGGTGCATGCATGCTCTGGGCGTAGGCCCCCTGCACATGCATGGCCTAAGTTGACTCTCACTGTGAGAACGTAGCTTTTTCATTCTCCATGTTTCTTCCCTCCTCACTTACGCTTCCTCTGGCAGAGCCCCCACTCAAGGTAGTTCAGATTCCCGGACCTTCAGATTCTCAGAGAACCTTTTGGGGATACCAACGTTTTTTCTCAAAAATTTCCAAGAGAAAATCCAATAAGGACTTGGGAGGCAAGAAGAATTTTTCTCCACAGACCTGTGCCAAACAGACATTCCTCAGGATGATGTTGCCAAAGTCACTGTGCTGAAGGACTGTGCCTCCCACTTTAACCTGGCATACCCACATTCATATCCAAAAACAACACTCTCTAACTGAGCCACAAATTATTAGCAGGAGCTCAGCAAATGTTTTGAATGAACCAGAACACAATGAAAGAGCATAAAACATAAGATGTTGTGATACATTGTTGACAGTGAAAGTAAGCATCATTTGATGAAAATGTTTCTATTCTATATGGAGACGCATGTCTCACTATTTAAAAGTTATTTGTATCCTAAACAATAGAGAGAGGGGGGAGGAGAGAGAGAGATGTGCTTTATAGAGAGACAGACAGGCAGACAGAGGGGTGATAGGTAACTGAGTTACCACATAAACACAACTTTAAAATAATGAGTTTAGTCTGGTGGGTTCCCAAAGGTCACCAACCTAAAGCAACTATAGTGAAAATCCAGAATAACACATTTTCTTTTAACCAAGTGCTCTAACATTTGGTTGTCTGGATTTGGATGTTTGGGAACACAGCTGAACCCATTAGAAACATCCTTTCAATACGGTACAAGTCTAAACTAAAGATAGGCCAGAACTCAAATCAGAATGTGGGTTTTGATGTGTAATGCCAAACCCTCACCACAGAGCAGAGTGAGCCAAGTCTTGTCTTTCAATTCACCAAGCCACTGGGAGGAATGTAAGCCAGAGGCAAGCTCTCTGCTCCATTAGGAAAGCTTTCAGAATGCCCATCTCTCAAATCACTGGGCAGAAGACCAGCTGCTCTCTAGGGATAGATGCCTGGCTAGTTGATTTGTTTTTTGTATATTATGGTTTTTTATTTTTTATTTATTACAATTTATTCACTGTGTATCCTAGCTGTAGCCCCCTCCCTCCTTCTTCTCCCCCTGTGTCCCTCCCCCAGTCCACTGATAGGGGATATTTTTAAGTAGCTTTGTCGGTAGATTGTGACTGGCAAACTTCACATTCTCTATAAATACCAAAATATTTTCAATTACGACTTTAGGGAAAAAAATTGCTTGCTTGACACTTTTGAGTAACCCGTCCATATGCCTACAGGTACCTCCAAAGGTAAGCTATCTCTGCCTCCTGGGGATGGAAGGCTGCCTGCTTTCTCTAAACACTATCCAGGGCAGCATTCTCAACCTTTTGGCAAACCTGTCTCCAAAAACATTTACATTACCATTCATAACAGTAGCAAAATTACAGTTATGAAGTAGCAACGAAAATCATTTTTTATGGGTGGGAGTCCCCTCAACAATGAGGAACGGTGTATTAGGGATCACAGCATTAGGAATGCTGAGGACCCCTGGACCAGGTTGTTAGAGAGTTGGGAACTTGGCTTAACTTTCCACATTCTCAAGGTGCATTGTCCACGTGGCCTTGAATCTAACACTCTTGAAACCAGGAGTCACCAGTTTATAGCAGATAGTCTTGCTGGATGAAATGAGAAGTTTCCAGTTCAGCTCCAGGGGACTGTCTACCTTGTGACCCTGTGACCCTGTGACCCTGTGGCCCCTCACAGCACCAGAGCATCACAAGGGCAACTGTGTGTGAAGGAACCAAGCATTTGGCTTTAGAGTCACCACTGCCCGGATTCTGCCCAAAACAAGGAGAAAAATCTTAAGACCAATCGAGGTGAGCTCAAATTGAGATCACTAGTGCACAAAGCAAACAGATCTTTGTGGCCCAATCAGTAGGTGCGTACGTTTTATTTATTGCTTTCTGATCCTATAGATTTTTTTTTTAACAGTTACAGCTGGAATACCAGTCGGTTCATGTTTTAGGTTTATTTCATTGGAAAAAAAAATCACTCAGGTTATGAAGTGAAAATATTTATCCATCTCAACAAATGGCATGAGTTCACTGCTCACCAACAGTGCCATCTACAGAGAACTTACCCAGGAGGTCACTGCTGGAGAGCGGAGCAGGACTGCAACTTTCAGGGATTCCGTTTCCATTCTTAAAACGTTTTAACTCGGTGAACGTGGGGTGATTTTCAAAAGAGGCAATCTAGCAGGGCAAGTCTTAGCAATTTATAATCGATTTCTACATGCAACTCCAAATGAACTTCGAACTACAGGGCCAAATTAAAAACAACCAACGTCAAACTCCTCCCCCCGTGAGACCCACCATCCCATGTCTGTGTACACTTGGGATTTCACTTTTTCCTCTAAATTCTAGACACTTCTCAAGCGTTTGGCGTTATGAGTTAAGTCAGACTTTGCTCAGTGCGCCGTGGGCCCTTCCCCTCAGCAGCAGCAGGAGGCACTTCCTCGGTAACTGGCAGCCTCCAACCGTGTTTAAGCTCGCTATCTCTTTAATCAGAAGTTTATACCACAACCCTGATGCACATCACACAAGTATCAGAGATTGTTGATATCATATCTTCTCAAAGATACGAACTGCTATCTCATTTCAGCACACAGCAGCCTTCAGCCGAACACCCAGAAAAAAAATGACTAAAAATGAATGTGGACATATACGCTACTCAATGCTCAAATACCTTGAGAACTTTAAAAACAATGAACAAAAATAAATTTCTTTCAAAGGTTTTACCTTTTTACACACCACTTGTACTCAAGCAAAGGCAAATCAGAGTGAGCAAACTAAGTACAAACACCCAGAATCCAGTGTCATCGTCTCCAGCAGCAAAAAAAAAAAATTGAAATTAAAAAGCTGTTAGATAAACTATTACCAGCAAGAGGAGGATGAAAACTAAACTGAAAAACAAAACAAACAAAAAAACAAAAACAAAAAAAAAAAAACAAACGGTGCAACGTGGTAACAGTTGAAATCGTGTTCAGATTCCCTATGATGAAAGCTTTGCACTAAACTACAGAAAACAAGTCTCCTCGTGTGTGTGTGTGTGTGTGTGTGTGTGTGTGTGTGTGTGTAAACGACAGAAAAAGAAGAAAAATAATTTTCAGTGGCTAAAGATCTGAGTACATGCGGAATCGGTCCCAGCGTAAAACTGCTACCTGTTTAGATCTTCAGAGTAGGGAATGAGGGGGCGCAATCTGCTTCCCCAACGGGATGGCTTTCTGCATGCACGACTTAAATAAGCCGCTCTAGCACATCAAAGAGCAGCACACCTCTTCTCGGCAATTACCCCTGCCTGGCCCCCACCAGCTGCTTTCTCTTTAAAACCCCACTACTTCATTACTCTGCCTTTAACTCTCCTAAATGATTCATTCTTGCCTTCTCCTGAGCACACGCCGCAGGGAAGCTAGTATTTAGGTTAGATTTCTAGTGCCACTTGCTTTGGAGAGCTTGATGAGGGGAGGCAGGAGGAATCTAATGTAATAAACCCATCGTGGTGTAGAAGGGCATACTACAGCCCCCAACCCAAAACTAACTAGACACGCCGAGTCCCTGTGACAAACTCTAACCTGAGCAAAGAGACTAATTAGGAAAGCGGAGCCCACGTGGGTAGGAGGTTATCACCCAAGTGGCAGCCAGTTCCACACAGGGAGGGCGGGAGAGTCTGGCGGATGCTCGCAGCTGCACCGGCCTAGGCGCTCTGGGGAAAGCCTGGTAGCCTCGGGCTAGAGCTCAGCTCTCGCCCAGACGCTGGGGAGAAATCAACGGCAGAGGTGCTAGTCCTCGGGAGGTGCCTCGGGGAGAGGGACAACTAGCGTGCACGCTGCGGGCGTTCCCGGCCCCAGCCCCCGCCTCCACGCTCCGCCTGGTCCAGCACCTTACCGTCCCAGCTCTGACTCCACGTCGAAGAAATTGGTCAGAGCATCCCGGTTAGAGCCGTCGATCCAGTAATCTGGGACGACGTTCCCAGTCCCCGAGGTACTAGCGCTGACCGAGCAGGTCGAGGAGGAACAGGAGGGCGCCTTGACTTTGAGCATCTTCGCCGCGGGACTCCGGAAGATGCCGCCGCTGCCCGAGCTGGAGCTGCTAGCCGCCGCCTGCCGCACGGGAGCGAGAGGAGGCGTCCTTCAGCGCGCACACGCCCACCGCCGAGCCGGGCTACGGCTCGCTCGCCTCCGCGCTCGCCAGCGAGGGCGGGAGGGGAGGCTGAGACCGCGAGCGCCGACGCAGGGGAACCCGGTGCCACCGCCAGCCGGCAGAGACCAGGCTGGGCTCCGCAGAGCTCGGGCGCCCTCCCCCTCGCTCCCGCCGCCCCACCTCCGCGCCTCCCTCCCGCCTGCCCCGCCAGCCCCCTCCCTGAGCTCCTCTCCCTCCCTGGCTGTGGCTGCAGCCTGGCTACCTAGAGCGTTTGCAAATACCGGAGCTCGGGGAAGCCGCTTGGACCCCGGAGTGCATCCTCCTACACGCCCTCCGGCCTGAGCCGCCAGCCTAGGAGGAGACTGCTCGGTCTCAGTCGGAGGCGAGCTCCGGGAGTGGAAGGCACCAAGCGCATGGTGAGAAAGAGACCTGGTCATTGTTCGTGCAACTCATGTTTCCCGGAGCGTGGCTCTGAGCGGGCGAGTCCTTTCCACCTTGCACCAGCTAACCAGCCCCCACTCGCTGGTCCCTGTGTCAAAGCTTATATAGATGACAGAGGAGGGTGTCTGTGGTGGCCAGCTCCTGGGCAGGCCTTCTCTGCTGGAACTCAGTGCACACCGGAGGAGAGGAACCGGCCTAGGTCCACGCTGACCTCACTCACCTTTGAGAGAAGTCTTCAATTTGTCATCCCGGCTGGTGGCACTGTCGCCTCTGGCTCTGCTGGAGCTCCTAAAAGGGCACATAGTTGGCTGTGTGTAGTTCATTCTCAGCATCTGAAGGCCTGCAACTGAAGGGCTCAGAGCAAGGCTCTGGAGAGGCCAACTAAGCAAGCTTGCCTCGAGGCAGGACCTGTCACCATTCTCGACAGAGAATGTAGCTACAGTTAGAGCCTTTCTCTTCCCACGAGCTGTACCCCATCATGAGCATCCTAATGTCCACCCATCATCTGCCACAGCGATTTTAAGTCCTGGCTGAATAGATACCTTTGGGCTTTCTTTCTTCTCAGATTTCAGCAAAGATAAACAGCAATTGTTATAATTAGTGTGTGAGAGAGAGCGGGAGTGCGCTCGCGCTAGTGCTAGTTACTACATCACCTCTGACTTCCAGCTAAATGACTCCAGACCATTTAATTTTAGAGATATTGGGGCGGATTATTTTCTACCTTTTCTCCAATATGCACTCTACCCAGCAAATCTCCATTCCTGAAACACATCGGTCACAAATAGGTTCCAATCTTTTCCTCTCCTTTGTTGAAATAGTACTTGTTATAATACCGGTGAAATCTCCGCCACCAAAACAAAACACTCAGCTTGTGGCAGGAAATGGGAATTTAATACAGAACTATTCTTTGGGAGTGAGCAAATTGCTCACCATACAGTGCTCTACAAGTAAGAGTAGGTAAGGTTCGTTCAAGGTCCCGTGCATACTGGATTACTTGGTGAGAGACGAAAAACCCATTGCTTTTCATTGAATAAATTCACTAATCTTCACGTTAAAATATTAAGCTCATAAACAAAGCAGGATACTATTGTCTAAATTGTGGTTCTCACAAAGTAAGTTTCCCTTGGCTGGCCATCAAGTAGTCGCCAGGCTATTCGTAATCACAGCTCTTTGAAGCAAGACCCTCAGAGGCAGCGATGGCTGTAAAAGCGTGTCTGCTGTAAACTATTTAACGACAAGGGTCCAAAGCAAGTGCACTACATTGGTGACATGGTAACCCCATTCTTTTCCCGTTATTTTTGAAAACAACGGTTGGAGAAAGAGCCTACGTGAAATAGAGAGGAGGCCATAGAAATGATACTTCCATTTGGCGTGGTGAACTCCATGCTAGCCTATTCTGGCCTAAACAAGTTATGTATCACCCTTATGCCCTGTGTTTCCTTCCTTGAACTGCTACTCTCGCGGATCCATTGCCAGCCATTAGGGATCATAGCACGTTGTAGGAGGAAAATCAGAATTGTATGCAAAGTTCAGAGCTACCTGCAGTTCCAGGCCTCCACCAAAAGTCTTGGAATGATTGCTTTATGGAAGACACGGACGGGGAAGGGGGATGATGTATTTTGTTTAATCCATGAAGCTTCTTTTTTTCATCTTAAGCAGATGAATAGAAAATAGAAAATGTTATTTAAAGCAGGTGAAACAAGGATTAAATACATGAAATGTATCATTTTTTACTCAGCCTTGACGAAAATGGGAAAAAAAAACAGAAATATAAATGCATAAAAAATAAAAACCCTGATGTTAACTAAACCTTGAGCATATGGACAAACAGTAATAGACTCAGAAAATTTGGAAGACCTGAAATCCAGACTTGAAGTAGGAAAAGTTCATTTAAAAAAGATCTAATTCTTATCACAGGAAATCAAGAAATGCTTTGGAGCAGGAAGCAGAGAACAAGACATTGGATGGAAGTGTTTAAAGGAATTCTATGGCCCCAACACTCCTAGCCACTCCAATCACCCCATCCCCAAAGCCTACAAGAAAGCAATAGGTTTGACTGTCAATATTGAGCAGGAATAAATTTTGTTTTCTGCCAGATGATACAGTTGGTGCCATATTCAAAACGGAAATTAAGTGGAATTCTGGAAAATCAACAGTGCAACTCATAAACCTGTGCTCTCACAAGATGCTGACAAATTATTGTCCTGTAGCCATCCTACCCCCATTCCTATAGACGGTGAACAACAACAACAACAACAATCTAAAGTCACTGGGGAATAAACCAATAGCTAGGGTACTGCCAACGCGACAGCCCGATTTCTGTTCTCTCTCAGCACAAGCAATCACACGGAGGGCCTTGCACATTGTACATAGTGCCCTACCACTGAGCTACATGGCCAGTCCTTCTGATTTCTGTGAATCACCTACCATTAAACAGGTTCATCAACCTCACAAAGGAACTATTTACTGTCTCCAACACATGAATGGACAATTTCTCACTCTGATAATGGAAGAGTAGGTTGTATAGCTCCACTGTATATAAAGGTTATATCTTCTGGACTATGTGTAACAGTTATTAAAACGTTCTGAGTTGCAAAAAATCGGGGTGAAATCTGCTGCCACCTGGAGAAGAAAGGAACTTTTTTGAGTGAATTTCAGTCTTCATATCTCAAAGTATCAGACGACAGACAATTCTGCACTAGTAGGATAGTAGAAACTGAGACAAAAATTGCAGAAAAAAATGGACCACAATGGAGAAATTTCCAATCTATACATAATCTGTACTAAAGGAATAGGATAGCCTCTGAAGTTATAGAAACGTGCGCTAAGTTTCAATAAAATAACCAGAAGAGCAAAGGTGCTAAGGAAACAGCGCATGACTTGGAGTGTAAGTTACAGCAGTCTAGGCTGAAGACATAGTTCAGGGGTTAAGAGCACTGGCTGCTCTTCAGAAGGACCCAAGTTCAATTCCCAGGACCCACGTGGCAGTTCAAAACTGTAACTCCAGTTCCAGGGGATCTGAAACCCTCATACAGACATATATGCAAACAAAATACCAACACTCATAAAAATAAATCATCTTCTAAAAGTTACAGCAAGTTAAACGTATGTTTGAGTGAAAGACTTGAGAAATAAGTTTACATGGCAACATAACAGAATTTGAATCATTGCAGGTGCCCACTGACATCTAGCATATAACTTTTAAGAATTGCTAGACACGTGAAACAATAGGAAAATATGAATGGGGGCTGAGAGTAAAGTTACACAAACTAGTTCCAAGGTGATTCATAGCTTGATACTAAGAATGATTTAAAACAGAAAATGAGTTTAAATAATTAAAAGGAAAATAGTTACAGTGATAATAAAGCTGGGGATTCCTACCAGAGAAATGGAAAATATTCAAAAGAGTTACTGGAAATTTTAGGACTGACAGTAAACTGTCTGAGTTCTAGAAGCTCCATCAGAAAAAGGCTTGAGGAAGGCTGCTGCTTACAGAAAGAAGGGTGCATGGACTTAACGACAGGTCTAGTGCCCAGTGTCTAAGATAGAGTTCAGCAAACTTCGCCTCCTCACATTCATGTCTGCGTTTCCCCTCCCAGACAGAGCTGGACTAGGTGAAAAACAGAACGTGATGAAAGTGCAGGTCATAAAGGTGCAACAGATGATGCCTTCCTCCCTTTGTTTGCTCATTCTGAAGAAAGGTCAGTCAAGCAGACAAATGCAAACTCCTAGAAAGAGGGTCCAACTTTCTAGCTAAGGAAGTGGGCTACCAGGAGTAGCTTCCGACCTCAAATCAAGCCTTAGATGATTTCAGGCCCAGCAAGCAGCTGACCACAACCTCACAGGAGAACTGAGCCTCAAAATCCAAATGAGACACTTGGTCACTCAAGAAAATTTGGAATTTTCTACACACATAAACTGTAAGAGACAAATGAATACTGCTGCTTCAAAGCAGCAGATTTTGGATTAACTTTTATTCAACAATAAAGAACTAAGAGAAAGTAAGAAATTGCTTTGTCGGACAATACCATGACATGAGTTCTTACTTACCAATGAGACTCTTAAAGGAATGAGAGACAGACTAAGGTGGAAAATTCACTTGGAAAAACAATAAGCTTAAATTTCAATCAGATTTATTGAAATACATATCCAAGAAATGCAACAAATAATCGGTAAGAAACAACACCATCTGTGCCAAACATTTGGAATCAGGAGATGTTTTTGTTAAGTTTTGAATGGCCCCATATTTGACATTTAGGTAAAAAATGATACCAAAACATATTTCTGCTCATCAAAAATAACATAGCCTACTTAAAAATTCAATTCTAATTTGTTCTGCGCATATACTGGCAGATGTAAGGCCTTCCACTGGAGTATGGCCAATTTACCAGGGCCTACACTTCTTTTTCAGAAAACATATTTTGATTTTATGTGTATGGATGTTTTGTCTGCATGTATCTCTAAGCACTACATGAATACAGCACCCACAGAGGTGAGTGGAGGACACTGGATCCTCTGTGACTAGACTTGTATACCGACATGCAGGTGCTAGGAGCTGACATCTGAACCTCCGGAAGAGTTCTGTTGACCACCAAATCATCACCCCTGAGAAGCTACTCTACTAAAACTGGTTCTCCTTCTCCCAGCAGCTTTCAGTTACCAACAGCTTATCAGTGAAGGCTGGGACTTTGCTCTAACCTCCTTCCTTCGTGGTAGAACTGGATCGTGCTTGAGCTTCTATGGGTCTTGCGCAAGCTGTCACACACTGAAAGGTTTACATGCTCGGTTCTCCTGCCAGGTGCAGGAGACACTTCCCCTGCAGACCTCCACTGCTTTGGCGATTACAATCTTTATCCTCCTATTTCTCCTCAGAGAAGGGCAT